CATTACCCATTCATGCCATTTCCAAACATTATTAGTCTCATATTCTGTATTCTTTCTGTAGCTGAGCAATCAGAAAAATAGATCATAAGTATCTGGAACTACCTCTGTTCCACGTGGCAGCAACCAGCAGTTCCACATACACAAGATAAAGTAGAACCAAAGCAACTATATCACAAAATAGTAGGCAATTTTTTGTGAAAGGACCCTACCACAGATAGTAACATCTGGGTCTAAATTAGTATATGATCTTGAATAGATTTAACATATTCAGAATTAGAACTTTAGAAAAATTTAAAGTTTTTGTAAATATTTAATATATATATTATAGCAGAGTGAAATATGTGCAACTTGTGTACCACAAAGACAAGTAAGTATCTTAAAAAAAAAATCTAGCTTGGTCACCTAATAATTTTGATGAGTCACTCCCAGCTTTTGAAACCTCAAACACAATCTAGTAATTGAGGAAAAACAGGAATTAATTTGACTTTCCTAAGAAGACTATTGACTGATACTTGTCTGTTTTATTTGGAATAAAAAATAGCTAAACCTTCTTATCAATGGAACTGCCATATTGGATCAAATGGGAAAGAAGCAAAGATATGAAGAAATGAAAATAAGAGAGAATATGTTGAATAATGAGAAATCCAGAAATCATGACCTAAAAGATCTAAGGAAACTCATTCTTGCAAACATGCTGAAACTGCCCATCCTGAAACCTAATCACAAAACATATGGAAAATACCTATAAGGGAGGGATATAACCTATTAAGAAATAAATGTCTAAAACTAAAGCATGCTGGCAACAAGGTTCAGACAACCCTAAAATATATATGCAATAAATGAGTCCTAAAGAAATAAAACAATATAAAAATAACTTTAGATAAGCCAACAAGATTGCATTTAATTATGTACGAGCATGGACAAACAAGTTAATATTACAAAATAGCAGACATATAACTTTGTTTTTCCAGAATGAGCTTATTTTTACCATTTTAGTTTCCTATTTTGTTACCTAATTATATCAAAAATTCTTTTATATGACATTAATTAAAGCACATTTTATCATAACTTTTGAAAAGTATTTGCCTGAAGGTAATTTATACTTGTTAAGTATGCCAAAACTCATTTTTGCATTATAAATATTCTAAAGATTTTGTTCCTTTTGTGGATCAGTAATAAGTTTATGGACTTACAACCTAAAAAATCCAGAGTTCAATTCTCCAGAGTAGACAGAGTGCAGATAGTCCATTTTGTAGATTTGTATTAAGAAAAAAAAGCAACAATCTAAAGATTTTGATTAAATTAGTAACAAGTAGATTATTCTGTGAATGACAAATTACTGAATTAAAGCCTTGGTCTAAGTACAAAAGTAGGATATTTCTATTATTCTGTCTCTTGATTTTACTTCTATCTTGTTTCAGCTTTTGTGCTCCAGCACTTGACTACTGGCTAGGCCTCACATAGAACATAAGCTCAGACAGCTTGGTAACATACTGTGGAATAAACAAAGAATTAGATGTTTCCAAGATCCCTTGTGTTTACTTGTTTTCCTTTGCTATTCATGTCCAATTTATTTTTTGGTTAACAGTCCTGAACCTGCATTTTACGAATAACTGCATTAATGTATCTGAATATCATAAATCAGGTAATTTATAGAAAATAAGTAATGAATTCTAATATTTGCTTTAATCATACAATTTATGAATTATATTAAACTTATGGGATTTTTACCAATAAACAATGCAAACATATACCACCTCACCTAATCTCTTTATTGTACTTGATCATATCTCCTCCTTCACTGAAATATTCTGCTATTAGTTCCTGCTTCTCATTATCTAACATGAACAAAGTTGTCCTGTCTGCATCAACTAGTCGACGAGCATGAAGCTAAGTAAAAGAGGTATATGTTTTTCAATATTAAATCCACACACACACATACACACACACACTCATAATGTGTAGAACATAGAGATTAGGCTATGATGCATTGTTATTTTAGCTAAAACCTTTATAATTTGCTCTACTTATTTATAAATTTGTTCTTTTACATATTTTATGTAAAGCACTTTATGAAAGAGAGAGAAAGAGAAAAAAAGAAACATAACTTTATACTTTGCTCAGTCAGAGCTATCATCAGATACCTAAATACACCAACTCTATGTATTCTAGCTAATAATATTTAAGATAAAAATGTACAACAGATAGCTAAATTTTCTAATTATCTGCTTCTCACTAACTTCACAATATTCATCAATAATAATACTTCAATTTTTTCAACAATCTGGTAATAAATAGATAGCTTGAGATCATCCACTTAATGAAAACCTGTTTTCCTCATTTTCAGGAGCATTGAGAGCCAACATGGGCCCCTTTCTATTTTTTAACATTTTTAAGAACTTATTAAAAAGAAGATCCTAAATTAAAATAGCAATAAACTCATAAACAAAGCAAAATCATAACAGCAGCCATTAATAGCTCACAGTATAAGTGTAAAAATGTTAATAAAGTAACAACAAATATCTATAGTATTAAATCTATAGTGTAACAAATATATATATATATATATTAGTTATTACTCAAATTATTATATCAATGATTCATAATGTATCAAGCAGCTATATGCAAAGAAAAGCCAAAAACTATACTTTTTATGATTCAATGAAGATAAAGCCTAAAGGTACTTTGCAGGCTGTATGGCATAACCAAGTTTCATTCAACCAGGTCCCTGGGTAATGGCCCCTTTCCCCTCCTCCTATGGACAGGCCTGCTCATTTTTATTTTTATTTAGACATCATTCCATATATATTTATATTTTTATTTATGCATCAAGTAATTGCAGTCTTGATTATTATTTAATCCTTTAAATGGATGTCTATTCATCACATGTGAGGAGGCTTACACTTTCTATAATAATTAATATATAAAGTGTGAATTTTCAAAAAAATAAAAGAATATTGGAAAGCATTGTTTGGGAATCAACTCACCAAACATGCTTTCATGACCCACAAACTTAGTGTTAAATAAATCAAATTAATTTAAGAAATATAACAATTCTTATGTGAAACTCTAACTGAAATATTTCAATTTTGAATACAGATGCAATACAAAAAATCGTTCATTTGTTCTTAATTAATAATAAGATAATATAACATGTCTAAACAGTGCAGTGTCAAAGAAATAATGGGCTTTTGCCCAAGGTGGCTCCTGTACAAAGAGGTTGTGTCACTCTCTTATTGGTGGAAGAGTATAGTTTAATGATGCTTGCAACATAGACTAAGAGCTCTGGACTAAGAGCAACATGGATAAGAGCTCTTTCAATGGCTTGGTGCTTGCACAAAAACTTTTCAGCAGTAGCCCCAAGTCATTAGTTAATTGCTATGTGGGGATCAATGTAAGTTCCATAGTCTATAGTTTTATTCTGGAACAACTAATATTCATAGGAAATCCTTTCAATTTTAATCAGAGAAAAGGACAGGCCATTATGTACTTAGTTTAAAGAAAATAAATGGCATCTCTATTTTGAAGAAATTTATTCTTGACACTCAAGGAAGATCACATTTAGTTAAATCACTATTTATTAGGATTTTAATCTCAGCTTTACTCATTCTTCTGAATAAATGTATGATTATTTTAGATTAATGAAAATTTTTCTCAAAAACTGAAAAGTTTCATACCAATATTTTACTAATAATCTTACGAACAACTCCTAAGTCATTAAGAAGAAGACCCGTGAATTCCAGCATAAAGTCACTAAGTTCATATTGCCTTTTCATGTTCTCCATTGCCTAAAATATTGAAACACAATAAAAATAATGATTTCTGTCCATTCAAATTTAACCTAACACGTGAAAATAGAAAAAAAACCTACAAGATACAAGTACATGTTTAGTTCCAATTCAGCAAACACATAGAAAAAACTTATTCTGAAACAAACTATTTTAAATTTTATTCAAAATTTCATAAAAAGAATTAAGTTAACGACATTGAATATGCTAAGTTGTATCAAAACACTCAAAAAAATCTTATGTTTTAAAGCAGTAATGAAAATTATGATACCTATCAACAATGGTACTAATACACATCTTATATGAATACAATGTTGGTAATTTTTCTAGAATACAGTGTATGTCATAAAATATTTACTAAACAAGCAGTCCACCAAGAACATACACACCTCAATACTACAATAACAAACCAATGGCTCACTGGCCTGACAGGGTGGATATTTAAGTCATATAGTAACTTCCAAGTACTCAAAATTTATATCATGTGGTGTTTTCAATTTTCAAAAATGCTGTCCACAAGTAATGTATACAACCCCTTAAATATAGAATATACTAATGACCTATTAGCAGGATAGGGTGGTTATTTCAATCCTCATCCAAGCTGTTTACCATGAATATACATCCTACAATTCCAAAAAATACCAGGGTGATAATTAAAGTCATGTAGTACCTTCTAACTTTTCAAACAAGCTGTCCACAAAGAATGTTAAGGACCACAACCACAAAATATATCAATGGTTCATTAGCAGAAAATTGTAAATATTCAAATTATGTAGTATTTTCTAGTTCCTCACTAAGCTTTCCACCAAGAAGATGAAGTTCACACTAACAAAGAACATACCAATGACTTGTTAGAATGACACAGTGCATAATTAAGTCATGTAGTCCATTCCAGTTGCTCAACTAAGCTGTCCACCAAGGGTATTGCCCCACTACCACATCAACATAATTATGACTTTGCACTAAATAGTAGTGACTTTTTATAGGTTATGAATTATTGTTCTATTTCTCAACCAAGTGGCCTGAAAGTAATTCATTGTCCTGTAAACAAAGGCAAACAATCAATGACTTAGCAATAAGACATAATAATAGTAAAGGTCATGTTGAATCTTACAGTCTCTAAACTTAGATGGCAACCAATAATGTACAGTCCACACTACTATGAAAAAAAATATCAACTTAAGAACAATATCATACAATAATACAGACCGTGTAATATTATCTTGTGAGTTTACAAAGGAAGTTCCAGAAGAAGAATGTATAGTTCTCTTTCCATTAGCAACAACTATTGCTCTGCAGTGAACTGTGTGATTCTACAAGTTATTTATATGGTATCTTTATGGTTGTCAAAAACGTAGTATAACAAAAGTGATTGTTCTGAACAGTGGTGTTGTGGTGATGGGAAAGCATGGGAATGGCATTCCCTTACTTTTTTTTCGGCCACAATGCTGTTACCTTACTATTTCTAATGAATCTGATCTTACAAATCTCAAACTTTGTAAAGTTTTGCCACCCCTAGAAGAAAGAATCATTAACCCTTTCATCCAGGTTGTAGACAAGTAATCAAAGTATAATGAACAAAAATATTGCAAAATAAAATGTGTATTTCTGTTAGTATTAATCACAAAGTTCCAAACAATATATGATAAGAGCTTATACTTCTCACCTTTTCACACATACTTTCTGTAGTTATTATATTGTTAACTGACTTAGAAACTTGACGAAACAAAATGAATAGTACTGTCAGGACTTTTGAGTATGGACCATGAAATTCCAAAGTAAATCTTCTGAGAACACCTATTTCCTATGTTTATTTTACTGTTACTGGCTGAAGTAGAAACCTTTCAAAAACAAAACAATGAATCGCCACTCTAAGCATTAAACTTTTCCCAGCTTCAAAAACACAGTTGGGTAGGGTTTATCGGCTTGTCTGTAGTACAGTAATTGCAACAAGCATTGTCTTAAGTACTATATAAAAGTGAGAGAAAATATTTACGATATGAACTTGAATGTCAGTTACCTCCTGAGGTGGTCAGGAGTTAGCAGTACAGGTGTAAAAGTGATAAAGAGCTTATGAACATCTTGTTTCCTATTTAACCATACTTACATAGTAACCAATAAATGCTTAGCTTCCAATAATATAAATACAGCCCATTTCGGTTTAGCTATAATTTCTAACTTAGCCTTCTTGTTAAGCACTTTAGAAGCCTTACAGAAAAGGGATATTACTATAGTTTATGCAGACAAGTTAATCAATGAAGGAATATAAGGGTAAAAAAAGCCTTAGTAGCAGAGAATGCCATTAAGGAAATGAAGTTTCATTAATAATACAGACAGAGAACAATAAGATTGTTTCAATCAGTCATGGTCAATTTTTAACAAGTATCATAAACAATATGAAACAATGGTTATCCACACCAACTTCTTCTCAGGAGCCAACCGGGTCACTTTTAATTCCATTCTAAACATAATTTCTGAGCTCTGTACCTTAGGAGTTAATGAGTAGTCGTCAGCAGAGATAAATCCAGGCTTTGAAGAAAGGGAAACCTTTACAAAAACAACCACAGCATACAAAGACTATCTAGACAACTGTGAAAACCATATTCCATCAGATTTGAATCCTTTAATGGGGTGTTCAAAAGTCATCACATGCAGTTCTTTCAAATGCAAATGAGGCTTTAGAAGCGTGAACCTTATCACTACAGAAATGAGGTCTAGGTTGTTAATCAACCATGTGATAAATCTCATGTTCATTAGCTTCACAACTCTCTGATTCAAAACTGGAAACCAGATGACTATGGATGCAAATGGCTTAGGTGTCATCGTTCAGCAACTGATACATGAACAAGAGTAGCCAAGTCCAAGGAACTCACTATAGATCAAGTATGGAAGTTCTGTTAATAAGTTATCCAGGTATTCAAAAGTTCAAGGAGAGAGAAAATTAATATTTTATTGTAAGATTTTCAAATGTAGATTTCAATTACAATTACAATTTACAGCTACTATTTCTGAAATATATGTTTTTATTGTATTGGTGACGTACTAAATACGTAACACTTTCAAAATGCATTCCCTCAGTTTTTTATTTAGCACTACACCACAGGTTCTGAATATAAAAACAAAATATTGGTAGCTTAACAGTAGGACAGGCTGATAATATAAATCATAACACTGTTCTATATAATACTAAAGAATAAAAATATACATAACTGCTTTCCATAGCAACAAAAATTAAGCTCTGCAGAAAAACATAGTGATTCTACAGATTATGAAGAATCTACTTGTTAATCAACAATAGAACTGAACACTTTTAGAGACCACACTGTCCAAGAAAAATTAGCAACCTAAACCATCATAAAAGTATAACTATAACTTAGCTGTGTGGTAAAAGCATGGAAACCCTCGAGGTAATTAAAGAATAAACCCAGTACATAGCCATTGGATTTCCATAAAGGCTAAGAATTTGTGGATCTAACAAGTAGAAGGACAGAAGTAATGATTTGTTACAGGTGAAATGAAAGGGACAAGACTTGGTGTTGAAATGCTCTATTTAATATGTTTAAAAAAATGAAGCAGCATCTGATTATAATAATGGTAACTATTTCATTGTGAAGAATAAGGTACAAAATGAACAGTATTTAAATAGAAAGACAAGTGAAAACAAACTTGAGTTGAAAGTAAAATGAAGTTAAAATAAAATGGGCAACTAGCAAGTGAAAAATGTATTGAAACAAAAAACAACTTTTATAGTGAATCTTGATTCTTTCAAACAGGAAACAAATTATCTACTTCAAAAGTTGAAATGAATCTGATGTGTGAATGCCAAGACTGCATTCTCTCTGTAGTTGACCAATCAGAAAACAGGAACTAGAATTAGAAAGCATTTCTGCTCTACACAGCAATTACAAAGTATCCCGTATATAAAAAGTTAAATAGGACACATTGCAACTATCTCAAAAAACAGTAGATAAGTTCCTTGACCTCTTCTACCTTACCATAGGCTTATCCTCAAGCCAACTTTAACTTCAATTAGAAAATCACAACCCTTGGAAACACTTTGTTAAAATTGGATGGAACATTAGAGAACAACACTGGACACAAAACATGAAATACAATAAACGATCATATATAAACAACAATCAGAAATAAGACACATGTTAACAATTTTCCTTACCTGAAAATGTATTTCCAATAGATACTCACCTTCATACACAGAATACCTTCATTCCTTATGCATCTGCCTATGAGATTTGCATGTCACTAGCTTTGAGCTACTTTCCACCTAAAAACACATCTGTTTAATGTGAACTATGCTAGTGCATATGGCCACCACCACCAGCTCCTCCTGACATACCACCAGCAGAGGAGCCCCTACGTGTCAACACCAACCCCCCAACCATGGCAGAGATCATCAAAGCCATCAAGTCCTTGAAGAACGGCAAGGCAGCAGGTCCTGACGGCATCCCACCGGAAGTTCTCAAGACAGACGCGGCAGCAGCAGCAGAGACACTACATCCTCTCCTGCAGAAGATTTGGGAGCAGGAGCAAGTGCCCGTCGACTGGAAGCTTGGGTACCTAGTGAAGCTGCCCAAGAAAGGAGACCTTTCCCAGTGAGGCAACTGGCGAGGAATCATGCTGCTGTCCATCCCCAGCAAGGTGCTGACTAGAATCATCCTGGAGAGACTGAAAGAGGCGCTAGACAAAAGACTGAGATCAGAGCAGGCAGAATTTAGACAAGACAGATCGTGTACAGACCACATCGCCACTTTGCGCATCATCATAGAGCAGTCCATCGAATGGCAGTCTCCTCTCTATACAACCTTCGTTGACTTTGAAAAAGCCTTCGACAGCGTCGACAGGGAAACCATCTGGAAGCTGATGCAGCACTACGGAATTCCTCCGAAGCTCATCAGCATGATCCAGCAGCTCTATGAGGACTCGTCCTGCCAGATCATCCACAACGGAAAGCTGACAAGCCCCTTCCCAGTGAAAACCGGAGTGAGGCAAAGCTGTATGCTGTCTCTGACAATCTTCCTCATCGTCATGGACTGGATCATGAGGAGAATGACTGAGGGTAGCGCCACCAGCGTCCAGTGGACCCTCACCACACAGCTGGAGGACCTGGATTTTGCGGACAACGTCAGCCTTCTGTCCCACAAGCAACAGCATGCACAGTCCAAGCTCACCCGGCTCGCTCAGGAGGCAGGAAAGACCGGCTTGAAGATCAACACCAGAAAGATGGAGGTGATCCGGCTGAACAACAAACAAGAGCGCTCACTGCAGCTGCAGGGAGAAGATATCAAGGAAACAGAGTGCTTCGTTTACCTTGGAAGCATAGTAAGAAGAGACAGCGGCTCAGACGAAGACGTTAGGAGCCGGATCAACAAAGCAAGGCTCGCGTTCAACACCCTGCGACCCATCTGGAACTCCAAAGCCTTATCCCTGCGCAGCAAGATTCGCATCTTCAACACAAATGTAAAAGCAGTCCTCCTGTATGGGTCCGAGACATGGCAAGTTACGAACACCATCACCAACAAGATTCAGACGCTCATCAACAAGTGCCTGCGACACATCCTAAACATTAGGTGGCCAGAGAAGATCTCAAACACAGAGCTATGGAAAAGGACCAACCAGAACCCAGTCAGCCAAGACATCAGGAAAAGAAAATGGGGCTGGATCGGACACACACTGCAAAAATCAGTCGACAACGTTACAAGGCAGGCCTTGGACTGGAACCCACAAGGGAAAAGAAAAGCTGAGAGGCCAAAACAGACGTGGAGGAGATCGGTCGGGAGTGAAGCAAAGGTCGCCAAAATGGCATAGACCCAGCTGAAGAGAGCAGCCCAGAACAGAGTCCGTTGGCGAGGTGTTGTTGCGGCCCTATGCTCCACCGGGAGTCTACAGGATTAAGTAAGTCAAGTCATGTTAGTGCATAATAACATCATCATGCAACAATAACCTTCTACCAATTGGAAGGTGACACAATCTTCTTGAGCAGTAACTACCCTTAAGTACATGCACTCACGATAACTTCATTCTTAGACAAGGGAATGTGAAAAAAATGTAGCAGAAGTAGGGAAGACAGTTAGGAAGGTGTGAGAGGTAAGTATCTATTAGAAATACATTTCCAAGTAAGGAAAATGTTATCTTCCAAGACGATACCTCACAAAGTAGATAGATTCTCACATTGAAGTACAAAAAAATTTAAACTTAGATGACCTCCATTCAGAAAGCACCCAAAGGGATAAATCATGGATATCCGATGGCAGGGGCTCCAAAAAGGTACACCCGTTGGAAACTGCATCTCATCTCTTCCCCCAAAAGGAAGCAGAGGGAAAAGCAAAAGAGCCACAAGTGTTGCAGGGATGGGCAGAATTAGATCATGACCAACTGAGCACCTGCACGCAAGCAGTCTATTAGCCAAGAATTGTAGTGTGATTAGGGCATGATAAGACTGTATGGTGTGTGCTCACCTCACCTCAACTAGACAGACTCTCACTGCAGGAGGAGGGCACACTAGCTATTTGAGGGGTGACCCATACTATACAGACAGTGTTACCACTTCTCTTTACTTCCCACCAGTGCTGTGCAAAATGATGAAGAACTCTCCAAGGTCTACCACCAAGTGGCTAGGAACTGATAATTGGCAAGGGTCTCTTGTGCTCTACTGGAAGAAGGGGGGAGAACTTGCAGTGGGGACCCAGAGAAATGCACGGATCCTCATCAGATATCTGTTGGAATGGTCAGTTACTTGAGACAGTGCTATGGGTGACTGCAAAACTCTATTTGTAAAAGCCCGAAAGTGCAAGCCAAAGAAGTGGGTTCTAACTTTTTTCACGATAGAAATTGATTAAGAGATGACAGATCGATAACCAGATGCCAGTGCTCAGTCTTCTTGGGGACCATAAAGAAAGAAGAATAAAAACCTGTAGTAGGGGTAAATATCCTCTCAATAGCATTCTGGCCAAGATATCTGAAATTGCATTCTCAAGATGTTGAAAATAAACAGGGTTGGAGGAAGGAGGAAAGAGGGGGAGGAAAAGAAGTGGAGAGATAAGCCATAGGTGAGAACCAGAAGAACCCACCTGTTGGCCAAAAATGGAGATCAAAGACTGGTGAAGCAAGACAGACAGGTATTCATTAGGACAGACCCAACAGTATAGTCATTCACAAGATGAGCATGATGTTGGGAAGAAGAACAGGAAGCAAGGATGGGAAGGGGAGGCAAAGATGGAGCAAGTCAAAGAATGGGAACAGAAGAGCAAGGTTGAGAAAGATGAGAAACTAAGGAAGACAATGAAGATTGTCATCAAACTGCCTTGGCTAATATCTTAAGAAAATCAGCTTTTGCCCCTTCATCTTATATCTGAGGCACTTCATTGTGCTTCTGACAGGATTTTTGGAGAGGTTTGGCTTATATCCCTTCTTACTTGGTTCCTCTGCTGTTTGGATTTGTTGGTTCAGGATGCTTTCTTTACTGTTCACCACCCTCCCTCTTATCTCTGTGATCTTTGTTGGGCTCCCTTTCTTTACCTGGAGATTTTCAGGTGTTATAATATAGGATGGTGGGAAGAAAAAAGACAAAGGTGTGAAAGCTGGGCATTACAGAATGAAATAGAAGTTAATGGGTTCACCTCCCAAGCAGATAAAAGAGATTCTAAATACTGTGATTTAATGAAAGAAAAAGAAAAATGGCTGTAAGCTAGGACAAAAGAATCAAGAAGGTTAGACCGACCATGCATGTGGATGCAGGTTCATAGTTGTTCTAGAAACAATTATGCATGAACCCTAATGTCATAAAGAAGAAACACAAAGTAATATTTAAAATGTACCTCATGTAGAAAAAAATGAGAACCCACCACACATTGAACAATAGATGTAACATCCTCAACAGACAACAGGCTCCCAGTAGCTATAGAAGACACACAGATGTCATGTTAGTAACATCATCACTATCACAAAACAAATCAGTTTTTTTTTTTTAAAAAACTGCAGTAAATAAATAAATAAATATTTAAACTAAAACAAAATTTAAGTTTAGTTAAATATCACAAATCTCACAAAAATTGAATTATATAATAAAATAAAAAATATCTGTTCATTACAATGCCAAGGAAAAGAATAAAGTTATTTCGAGTACAAGTGACTTAAGGGGAGTTACTACACAAGGAGGTTGTGTTGTTGCATGATCACATCATCATGCACTAGTGCAATTCATGTTAAACATGTTTAGGCTGGAGTCAGCTCAAAACTAGTGGCATACAAATCTCATAGGCAGACAAGTAAGGAATGAAGCTATATTGTGTGCTGAGGTGAGGTATCGTCTTGGAAGTCCTCTTTATCACACATTGCTAGCTAAAAGATATCAGATAACAAATAAAACCCTTTAAAAAATCAACAATTCTAAATTAACACAAGATATCCCTTTAAGAAGAAAACTAAAACAAAATGATGTAATTAATAATGCATATGTTATGCATGGAAAAAAAAACAAAACATGACACTAATAATCTGCTAATCAATTATGTAACAAGTATTCTAGTTTTAAGGTGTGAGTTGGCTAAGTACTTTTAAGTTTTATTTAACATACCAAAATATATTGAGACATTCATTATTTTTAAAGCATATGATAAACAAATTTTATATATTTTTTCAGAAAATTAAATTATAAAGACTACATTAAATATTATGATCAGGTATTTGAATTAAGTTGTTAAAAGATATAAATCAAAGAAAATTTATCTTTGGAATTACAAAACTGTAATGTTTGCTAATTAAATTTTAAACATGTCATCTATTTATACATATATCTTCTTTTATTACTATAAAAGCTTACAATACTTACCAGACTTTGACCTATCCAGATTCCCAAAAATGCTGTAAGTGTTGTCAAATATTCAAAATCTGTTATTTTGAATGGTTTCTTGGTTTTGTTTCGTCTCAGTTCAATTACACCTAGTTAATGTGACAACAAGAACATTGTCTATATAACAATAGCTAATCATATGTCTATCACAGTATCAATATCTCACATTATGAATACAGAATAGGTCAAAATAAGAAAATAAAAACATTACAACTTTAAAATTCCTTCAAACATACCAATATGAGTATATGTTTTGAACAACAATTTTTTCTGTTCTCAAAAGAAAAGAAAATCTTTCAGGGTTTGTGTATTTGTCCATGTACACCTCTTTTATCCCTACAAATAATTTAAAAACAACTGTTCACCCCAAAAACAAGAAGCTTCACCAACAAACATACAGATATGAAAATATTTTTAAGGAAAAACTCCTTACCAAAATTTACATGACAATCAAGGTATTAAGTATCTTTTTTGTATCTAAACTTATTTTAATATTTACAATGAGCCTTACAGTGGTTCATATAGCAAAATGTTGTATGATAATTATAATCTATAATTTTTTTTAAATATATATATATACTTATTTATCTAAGTGCCTACTTTAAGATAATTAATGTTTTTCAAAAAGAATCCGAAAATGAGATTAGTTATTTTTGAGAGCTTTATTAATGAAATTGTAAGGAAGCACAAGAAGGTAAATACTATAAAGCTAGGATCATGAACTTTAGTTGAAGGTTAATCAATGAAACATGGTCTTTAACAATTTTCAAACAGTACTTTACCTGGGGTTTTACCTAAAACTTTATTAGAACTTCAGTAAGATTCAGACTGTCAGTACTCTCCTTGACAAACATTATAATGGTACATTCTAGATTAAAATATGTTTAGCATTAAACACATTACTGAGATGCTCTTGATATTGATGAAATTTGACAGAGAAATTCAGGTGTATACCCCATCACCTCTAAAGATATTTATTCTTAGATATACATGACTATTCATTTTAAGTTTAACACAAGAGTATTATTTAATTTATATAGTGCAAATGTTTTTAGAAGTGATAGTTATGGCAAGTTTGCTTATGTAACTGTTTATGAATCATTTGTTGTGTAGTTAAATTGTGAATTGACATCATGTTACTCGAATCTTTTGAATTTTTCTTGTTGCTTTAATCGAATATTGTTGCATCATGTAATACCTAGTAGTTTGTAAAAAGTTCTAGGCTTCAGTCAGGCAATACATATAGGCAACCAAGTTAGTGCAAGTAAAAAGTGAAAGTGTAAGTGAGACAAAGTTTGTGAAAAGATGTAGTCGAATAGATTTAGACTGTGTTTGTAAGTTTAGCCATAGTGTATGTATAGTGATGGCTTATAAAGTGCAATAATCACAAATTGTATTGTAATAACAGAGTAGAGAAGAAGAATTTGTCTTGTCAATTTTGTTCTAAAGTACCAAAACCAGCCTGTGTGGACTTTGAGGTAAAAGAGAATGATTTAAAGCTCTGGATACAACTGTGGTGATCAACAGTGTAACAAACATTTGTATATAGATTTGACTTGTTTTGAATATATTATTTTAAAACAAGTGGATTGTGTGCAGTCCATTTATTGTTGAAATTTATCATCAACAAATCACAGACACCAACACTACAGAATTTGGCCTCCATAAAACTGATAGTTTTAATGGATAAGCTATTGGACAAATGATTTCAGTTTCACAACATCTTAATTTCAACACCTTAATGCATGAATAAGAGTTGAATTGGGAGAAAAAGCCATTATCAAAATAGTGAAGCAAGTGCCAAACAAAAGGGTAATTTGGTATCAGAAGAACATATTATATGCTATGGTTCAAGATATTAAAAAAGGAATGGACATGCCTCCATTTACAGAAATATTTTTTAAGTCCAGAATTGCTAAACACCTTTGCTAGTATAGTTAATCTTTATACAAGCATCCTACTATCTAGAAAAAGTTTAGTACAACAAATGGGATTCTAACAAACAAGTTAATAATCTTCTATTAAGAAAATTCTGTAGGACATGAAACACTATCATAGTTTTTGTAATGTAAACTCATGATACATGATAATTTTATTTATATCAATAATACTGTACTACTTTCAAATACGCTAGGTATTATTGTTTGAATATATTAGTAAAAATAAATTCCAAATGATTCTTTTTGAAGATGCTACTTATCATATGTAAATATAATTGACCAAAATATGAACATTATTACATGAATGAAGACGTATAATGTTAGCTTACTGATTTGTACATATTTCCATCAAATAGAGACAGACAAAACATTTTTTGTAACCTTTACCGTACACAATAAAAATTTCCACTAACAATATAAATACATTATGCAAAGTGATAATCTAGATAAATACTTTTGAAATTAATATATCAACTTCTGGTGAATGAGAAATTAGATTACTGTCTAAATTACATTATATTTTCACCCTTAACAGATAAAACTTTTATTATGGAAAACATAATATTGCACTTAAGGTCATGCAAGCCTTTGTAAGTTTGTTTGCTCTCAGGAATTTACAAATCTTTGAAAAAGATTTGCACGATTTGTCTACATAGTTTATAAACAATGGCCTCACACTAGAAGATAACCCCTCATTACATCATAATACATACCTAGCAGTTTGTACTTCGGATGTATCACAGGTAAACATAATAGTGACAGAATATTATTTTCATCTATGGAATAAGAAAATAGTCATCACCAAGGCAGAAAATGATCTTTATCTATCAAATAGAAAAATATCCATGCAGAAAGATAACTGACTATCATTTTCGTCTGTAAGATACTTAGAATACCTAAACATCTTAATGGGATGTGAGTGTGTGCATACACTTGTGTATAAAATACATGGAAATGAGAGAAAAAAAACATTCCTTTAAAAGTAATAAAACCACTTTTAAGTGTAATAAAACTATCACTTTAATTCCTACAAATCTTACTTGTTATGTGTTTTTAACTTGTTCAACAAATAATGCTTATATTTGATTTCAATCATTTATAACTATTAAATAATAGAAGCCATATATTAAGTAAAAAAAGTAAAATTTTTACAAACCAAAAAATAAATTTAACTTAACATTTAAACATAAAAAGAAGCTTTGTGGTCCATTGAGGCTGCCCCACCAACTAAATTAATCTAAATTTTTAAAAATAAATACATTTGCTTTAATTAGACTTGAGTTTTATATTATGAAAAAATAAATTATTCTCTTTTGTAAAAAATATTACAGCAACATTCCTGTAAAAACTCTGAAAAACAAAAGAACAAAGACTGATATAGAACTTTCTAGTTATTTACCTACTTAATTTTTAAGGAAACAAAACATATTTCACTCCAATAAGTATGTCTCATTCAGTTATGTTAGGTGTTTAAAACTGATTTTCAGTTATATTTTAGTCACTTTCAAGTCATTCTATTCTCTTTGTGTTGAATTTCCTTAATCAATTTTCTAGTTAAAATTTAACAAATTATTTTTTTACACCTAGGAGAAATATATTACTTACTTCCAAAAATAACTCCCCTACTAAACCTGTAATCCTGGTGTAAAAAATAATAATTATTGATGACTTGACTGAAATATATATGATTTTTAAAACAATTAGAAAAGTCAAATCTATGTTAAATAAATAAGAAATTGAAAGCATATATTACTTTTTTCCAACATAAACGTTTGATTTAAATTAATTCCATTAATTTTCTTTCCATGCATGTTAAGAAATATGTATTAAAATTAATTAAAAATACTGCATCATACATTTTGACCAATACGTTACAATGCTTCTGCATAAAATTCTTTTTCATTGCATCTTTTCATAATCAGTAATTATATAAATTTATTAAAAAACACCAACAAATTTCATATTCAACAACAATGTTTAAATTAATATAGATTCACAGACCTTAAACAATTTTTTAAATCAACAGCTATAGATAATAGCATTGTAAACTTATATAAACTAAGGTGAAAAACATTACCACCACAGAAATTAAATCACAGATAAACAAAATAAAAAAATTTCTTTCTGCATTTATAAAATGATTTTAATTGCTATAATGAAAATATATGATTTGGTGTAATTTTATTCATCTATAAACTACTCCAAAAATTTAAAGTAGCAATTTGTTGTAGTTAAATTTTCATTCAACCATAAGAAAATCTAAATTAATTTATCAGCTTCACTAACAAGTTCAAAGTGGTCAAATTTATAAGGTCTGACTGAATCAACTTGTTTGAAAGTGCCACATTTGGCAAAAGAAAGAGATACTTTATAATGAGTACGAGAACCTCCGGCATTTATAAAATTTGTGCATCAGCCAGGCATGCTCTTGATCATTTAACATATGACCTTAGAAAGGATCTTGTCTCATTCCTCAGTCAATGCAATGCCAAACTCTCTGATATCAAATGGTGGATTAAGTTTCATGTAAATGGTGTCAGATAAGGTCCTAGTAGCATTTTGTGATTTAGATCAGGCCTTCCTTGTAGACAAGTTCATAATCTCTATGATTTTGTTTTTAGGCAGTCAATCCTAATCTTATCAATAATGCATTAAGACAAAGTCTGGTCCAATTAAATACCACTTTAATAAACTTTGAACAGTTAAATTGGCTCTTGGAAGCATAATAACATTTATACATCAATTTATATTGAAATGAACTGCCACTAAAACTGTTATATTCAACAATGTTGCACTGGGCATATTTTTATATATGGCTCTTCAGAAATAAAATTACTGGCCCTTGATTAATGATACAGACATTAAACCATGATTCATCTGAAAGATCAATTGTTTTCATTGGTTATGAGGAAGAACTATTTTCTCAGTTGTGAAAAACTGGAATATCTGTAGAATTTGAAATCACATTTACTGGTTCATTCAGAGTTAAATAAACCATATAATATCTATTGTTTTTTATTAGTTTTGAGTTCACATGTTTGATTTGTACAAGTGGGCTATTTCTGAATCTTGTGAATATTACTGAATGTTACTACTATTTCTAGCAAGGTAGTTCTTATGTATGCATTTTGAAATAATCACATTTATTTGTAGTAGTATGACGTATTTTTTGTGGTGGCTAAACAAATATGTTTCCAAATTAAAAAAATATGATTCTTGATTATTGGGTCATTTCCCCACACTTCTGGAGGATTTCTACTGAAAACAGTGAGTCTCAAATCCTTGTTGGAGTGTCTATGACACCAGGCAAGTCCTTGAACCTGTAACCCAATAAGCCAATTAATGAACAGTGATAGAAAACAGATGTTGTTGGAAATACATCCTAGACTGCTTTGGTGTAGGAGTTGGATATAAAAGCATTAACACAACAATGTCACAACCAGCTTCAGCAATCACCAAGGGCACGAAAAACCACTAATACTCCTGTACAGCTGAAAGACTACAAGACCACCACATAGATCCCAATCATCCTTTACTTGTGCACCACCAATACCATTTTTGGAAAGATTCCACAAAGAATTAGAGCCTCAAACTACCTACAGCCTAATCCTTGATTTTAATTTTTTATTCATTGAGTGCACCCTATTTTCTTTTTTTGACCTGACTGAAGATGCATTCAAGTGAAACTCTATCAGTGATACATACACTGCATGTATTTGATGAAATTTCTAATATTAGTTGAGTCTAGTAGTTTTTATAAGTATATATTATAATGATGCTCTTTATCAGCTTTCAATATTGTTTTTGCATAATTTTATCAATTAAATGTAACTTGCCCTAAACTGTGTAATATAACAAGTTAAACAGACATATATATACATAATGTACATGCAACATCTATTGAGAACCTATATAACATACTACAAAAGTATATAAAATTACCATAAATGAACCCTATATTTCTTTACTAAGACATACAACATACAATGTACCACACAAAATAAAAGAATTACAAAAAATTTGTACTTAATTTAATAACAGTAGTTTCAAAACAGCATCAGTTAGTAAAAAATTACAATTTAAAAACTGCTAACTAAAAGTAAACTTTACAATAATTTTCTTCAAAATTTTTATAGCCTTACTACTGTTTTAAAAGTAAAAAGTACTTGTAACTGAGAGACCACTTTCCCTTATTTCTTTAGTTACTATGTTGTTTATATTTTTTCTTCTATTCTAGATAAAACTCCAAAGCTCATTATTGATTCTTGTTAATTCCAAAATACACTATATATATAAATTTCAACACAAACAGTTTGAAGGTTTTCTACAAGGACGTTTTCTAGTGTTGCAGCAGCTTCCCCAGCAGCAGTGTCCCCATCAATAATTGGAATGACTGAATTAAAGTCTTTACTGTAAAAACAAGAAACAAAATAATTTTTAATACATCTAAAGTATTTTCAAAACAGAAAAAATTATACTTCAGAGTACCATAAGTTTTAAAAGAATAAAAATTAAAAAAAAAACATGGTAAAAACACACATCAAAAACATCAATGTGCTCTTTGTATGCATCTTGTTATAATATCTTATTGTTAACAAAACTGGTGAAACATAAAAACTGTAGTGTTACACAATAACCAATGAAACTGTTGTCCCTCTATTTAATGAGCAAAAAAAAAAAAGGTATTTTTTTTATTCCTGCATTCGACAGTGTTTAAGCTATAATATCTTAAAAACATGCAACTATAATTTACTTACTATATATCAAAGTAAAGATGGGTTTGAACCATGATCAAAGAAATTTTTAACTAAGTTGTAAATTGTACAAGTTACCATTGTCGAAAAAGTACATCCTAGAAAATTATCCTTGGCATTTTAATCCTAACAAAATGAGTATATGTATAGTATTCAGGTATACTGATATCCACCATAAAAGTCTAAAGTCTTAGTCAGGAACTGCAGAGAATAATTTCAGACATGAACAACAAAGGAAGCACAGGTGAACAAAGAAAATTAACATTTTCCTTTCCTGAAAATGTATTTCCAATAGATACCCCTACCCACAGATTAGTTATTTTCTTTGGTAGAAATGCTGAGGAAAATAGCCACTAGCCATGAGGTAATTCCCACCTAATTTCATGTGATTTTACATGAATTGCACCACTGCATGATGATGTCATCACTAACTTCCCCTCTGCATCTGCACTCATGAATCTTCATTCTTTGACAAGGCAAGTAAGAAAATGTGCACCAGAAGTGGGGAAGATGGGTGGGAATGCAGGTAAGAAAAATGTTAACTTCCGAAACAATAACTCACCTTCCACACAGATTAGCTATAATCCCACACTGATATGGTGGAAAGACTAATGCAAAATTTATCTATATGGGCACTCTTCAGAAAGCACTTGAATGATGTTCATGGGGTTTGACACCTAATGGCAGGGGCTTCATAGGAGCACACCCATGATAGACCATATCTTTTCTTGTATAAGAAAAGGGAAGAGGCACAGAAGCCAAATTTGTTTCACAGGGATGTGTTAATCTAATACATGGACGACCAAGTACATGCATACAAGTTTTCGGACAACCAATATGTGTAGTGTGGTTGGGGCTCATTCAGACTATACCTAGTGTGCACACCTAAACTCTATCATCGGATTCAATGGGTCAAAAGCAGATGCAGGAGGAGGCCACTTTTATTGTATATAGTAATGATACTTATATACCTCAACTTGACAGTTAGCCTCTATGGGCCCAACACCAGTTGTTGGAGAAGGGTAGGTGAGATATTCATCACAGGTGTGTATGGAGTGCTCACTTCAACTCTACTGTAAGACTCGATGAGACTTACACCAACTGCAGGAGCAGGGCACATTTGCTATGTAGTAAGGACCACTATTGAGTGTGGCCATCTTGACTACTGGTTTTGTATAGTGAGTGCTCACCTCTACTCAAATGAACAGATTTTATGGGATGGACTACTTGCAGGAGGAGAGCACTGTATTATGTAGCATTGGTTCATATGTGTTTTAGTTCTGATTAAATTATCATTATTGAAACAATGTATATTAGTTCTTTACTTATGAATGATGTAATTCTTTTATTTTGCTTTAGATACTGAAGATGGAATTTGTAGAACTCTGAAACATTTATCTGTGTCCCTTTCTGTTATAGATAAACAATGTTGTTCATCTTGAGTATCGTTATCAACTTTACTGTGAAAAAAAAAGGTGATCAAACAGCAATTATATACATGTGAAGCTGTGAAATACTTGGGGTGTGGTCACAGGTGGTGGAGTAACAGGTAGTTAGGATCAGCTAGAATACAATACATTGTTCCATACCTGTAGTGAAAAATTCATTGAAGAGTAGACACGTGACATCTAATGACTGGACATGCTCCTGGAGCTAAGGACCTCTACATTTACATCAGAAAAAACTAGCCAAGTAATAAAACTGGTCTAGTTATTAGGCACCCAAGAATAATTAAAAAGATCTAGGCAGACTCATGGATAGGTTCACAATTCAAGAACAGTACTGTGAGAACATCTAGGTGGTTAAAAAAGATTAGAAATAAACCAATAGTTTTCCCTATCCTAGTTGGAGCTTGGAGATGTCATATAGAGAATGGTCATCTTGTCTCTGATGCCATGAATGCTAATCAAGGAAATGCATGTGGAGGTGACAAAGATACCCACCAAAGTATTCACCAGCCACTAGATGGCATCCACTGTCTACTTCCATAGGGCATCATCTATTTGGACCATCAACACAGAAGGTAAAAAAAATTATGTTTAGAACAAATTCAAAAGTACATGTAACATGCAAGAGTCCTGACTGTATAAATACAAATAAGTACAGAGTCTCATATTACAAGGGAAGACAGATTTTTTTATGATCTCACATCCCCAATCACACCTGTAATTGTAAAAGCAATGTAGGCAGGATAGTGATACATGGATTACCATGTCCACTAATGTAACAAAGAATAACTCTCTTGGTAGAGATTCAATTTGGTATGATGAACCATTACTGGAGGCAAATGGAATTTTGAAGCTAAAGAGTCAGAAATGTGATGAAAATAAATACTTAAGAATCTATTCAAATTTATCCACATGCCTCTAAATAGTACTACTGTCAAGACACCTAAGACATTGCCATATGACAAATTTAGTGACATATAACCCAAAATTCACTGTGAAGGTGTTTGGGAACCTCACAGTGAACATAATGAATCAAATACATGAGCCAATTTGTTAATGTAGCCAGATTAATAAGATCCAAAGAATGTAATTCATCTTAAGGTACAAAAAAACTTTTCTGAAACCTCTTGAAAGATTCAAAGCATGTGAAATCAAAACAAAATGCCCTTGTAGGACATAAAAAGTATTCCTTCAAAAAAAAATCAGGAAGCAGCCAAGATTTTGGTTAAGTAGACACAATCTGGGTATAAATATACGGCCTTTCAAAAAAACATGGTACATGAAGCATCATGAGCATAATATATATCAGAATGTCTCCTGCCTGATGCAAGCAATAAAAGAGAGAGAGTAAAAAGAAGGCAAAGGAAATAACACTCAGGGTTCTAAAACAAACACCAATTCTCATTTCAGACAATGCCTCAGAACATGAAGTTGATGAAGATGGAAGGTTCAGAAGAAATCTTTAAACAATGGAGAAAAAAGAGAATGAATGCTTTCATGGCATTTGAAGGTGGCTGATAAGACAGCTCTGTAACCAGTTACTAAAAAAAACTGATAAACCACAAGCATAAAACAAATATATAAATAAAGAAGCAATCTGTTGAGGAGTTGGAGATAAACAAGATACATTATGTATAATGCACCAACTCCAGAAGGTATTCCAATGAGATTGATAAACAACCAGAAAAGATCAGTAAGAATGAGCTAACATTCAAGCCACCAGGTACAGAAAATCCAGTTTCTTCAAAAAATTACTAAACAACAGCAAGTCAAGATCACCCACACAATAACCATTCTGACGATCAAGAACTTGAGAAATCAGATGAATAGTAGAAGATGACCCCACTAAAAGGCCACCCATATGAATGCAAGTAATACGAAGTTAATTAACATCCTGTTGCTTTCTAAAAGCATTTTAGCAACAACCCATATATCCAGAAGGCTAAAGAAATTAATCACCTTACCCTCAAGCATAACAGAAATTAATTCAACATTTAAAATAGAAAATACCTGAGAGGAAAAAGAAATTATATCAGCAGAAGCTTCTTCAGGATTATATTTAGCAGAAAAATCCCACTATGTAGGCATTGAAAGTGAAAAATCCTGAGGAAATAATATTTTTCAAAATCATAAAAAATTGTGACCATTCTGCAACTTCAGCACCAACAAGATCATGAAAACAGCACATAATTCAGCATTAACTACCTAAATACATTGATCAATGAATGCTTACAATGCAACCACAGGTTTCTCCAAGCATACTAAAATCAGGATGAGTAACACCTCCAAATAATGAGTAGAATTCCCCATATTTGTAGATAAATTACAATAATAAATAATCTTGAATTCATAGTGAAGTTAACACATAAACAGAAAATCTGAATTATAATGGGGAAACAGAGCTTATATAAGATCTAATACAATTTCTATATGTCATATAGAAGATGGGAAAGTGAAGAATAATGGGTGAATTGATGCATGTTCTGCACTGCTGCAAGGACATTCAGAACTTTCAGTTACATGACTGTTAATAGTATAAGGGCAATTCAACAAGAAAAGACATTTACTATTTTATAAGTAAGTCTTATATAAGAGAAATGATTAAAATCACTCAAAGGGGGAAAAAGTTATTTGTTTAATGTTTCATCCAAATGATTGTCATTTGGTTCTTATGAAGGTTGTTTAGCAAAACTGTTGATCATACAGTTAATTTTCTCTTCCAGCAATTTAATAATTGTTTTTGTTGTTTTCGGTATTTACAGTGATTTGTACTTTTTAAAAATTACATTTTTAATGTCATAGTAAATCATGGAAATAAGGTAACTTACCATTTACTTTCAGAGTCATGCACCACCAATTCCTTAAAAGAAAATTTTAGAAATATTTTAGACTGTATAAACTTTTATTTTTCAATCAAATATAATTAAGGAATACAGCACAATTAGTAGTTATTTTACCAGGATACTTCTTTCTAAAGCATGTTCCCTTTATATCAAAACTCAACACTTAACCTGCTAGTTGTTTCTTTAATATTACAGTATTACAGTTCTTCTCTAACCCTTTAAAACAAAAATAAACTATGATTAAAAATAATGGTTTGAATTTTTGACATAAATCCTTATGAAATTCTCATCTCTTTAAATAAATTACAAAATAACAAATAGAAGATATATAATTATTTAATAATATGATTTACAAGTTACAAATGAAATTGAAAATTAGTTTATCACACCCAAAACTTGTTTTCATTTTATTTTATGAAAAACTTAATGTTATTGGAACTTTCAGTGCTCAAACTTATCGTGATATTTTTAAATTCACTTCTGAAAGCATTCCATTAGACTAAAATATATACTTGTTGTGACACAATAATTTTAAGTATATATATATTTATATATATATATATATATATAATGATATCTGTTCGATGTTTAAGTGAGGAACTACAAAAGTTGGATTTCAGTTTTCATCAGCAAGCTTTCCAATGGGAAGGAGAGTAAAAGGGTCAACTGTACAGGGGACTGGTAATTTAAAGGGGCCTAGGCAGATGGAATAGATACATTTCTTTATTTAAGGTTAATATTTGCAACAAAAAGTAATTACCTGTTTCCTGCTGTTAATAATAGGATAATAAAAGTATCATAAAAGTCAGCAGTCCCATTTTAGAGGGTTACTGACTGTTCTGCCCTGAAGTCTGGAAGTGCTGTCAATTAGTCTGGTAATCAGTTTTTCTTCTTTAGTTAAGTTTTAATAATATTGAGCCATAACCCCTTAATCAAAATAGGGATATACATTGGAAAGAATGTACCTGTTTTGCTACAAGAAGTATATTCTATTTGACTAAATTTTACAATTAGGAGGCCTAATTCAATGGTGAAAATTAAAGTTACCCACTAAGGCAGAAAAAAAATGCAGTCAAACAGCACTAAGAAACTTTCCAACACACTGCACAACAATGAATAGGACAGATGCTCTGCCAGAACTCAAGTATTAAATCTGTTCATTTGTAATGGATATGAACTTTCATAAAAGAAAAAGCAATGAGGGACAATTCCTAGGCCATGACTCACAGATGTGCAAGGTTGACACCTTTTTATCAGTCTGTTCAAAGACCTGGTATTATACATTGAGGACCTTTCTCTAAACAATCTGTCCAAACAATGATCACTTTATACATTGAGAAAGAATAATATTTTAAAAAATGATTTAAAGAAGAATAAGATATGTCCCAGTTAAAAATAGCAAGATTGTAGCCTATGAAGAACTATTGGTAATGTAAAGCAACAGTAATGGTATTGTCTAACTAAACATACTTTCTGTAAGTTACATCTGAAAGACAAAATTATCAGTAAAGTCTGTGCTAACTGTTTGTCATGTCTATTTGTGAAATTAAATACTACAAGAACCTAAGGAAATTTTATTGACAGATATATCCATGAATGCTTTATTTTACAAAATGCTGTAGCATTAGATGAATACTATAAATATTTGGTAAAATATTCAGGCCATATGAAAGATTGATATCCACATATTAATTTATTTTTCAATTCAAATTATTCTGTTTGTAATACATGTTTTATAAATATATATAACACAAAAATTTACATTCCTTTCACCACTAAATACAAGGAAAATAAATAAAACTATGGTTTGTTATTCTGGCATTCTTCTGTTTCTTAAATCACGAATAACATTCTGCAATAAAAGCTATAGCACAAGGATCTGGTTAATCAAGGAAGCTTCTTAAAACTGGATGGAGAAACACTAAAGACAAATATAATTTGCCACTAGCTAGATGAAAGAGACAAGGTTTGTTATATTACATATAACTTAACAAATCGTTCATGAAATTATTTTCTTTTGTATTAACTTTTACCATATAGTACATTCTATGACAAGACACCAACAAACACTTACATTGTCATTGTCTTTCTTCTTGAGGTAAACAACAAATGAGTCAGAACTGGTAACTAAAAAAACAGAAAAATATAAAACAAGAAGTTTGACAAACAATTAATACAAACATAAATGAACATAAATATGTTTCTGTACAAATCAGTTCAACCATGAATGGTTACACCTCCTCCTTCCTCAAAAACTCCCTGAAGAAGACCACAACAGCAAGAAAAGATCAGAAAAACACTGCCACTACTATCATTTACCACCCCTACCTGAAAATGTCAGTGAAAAAATCAAACGTATAGCCAAGATATTCAACGTAGAAGTCCAGTGGAAATCCTACAAGACATTAAGGTCCATTCTGGTAAAAAAAAAAACAGCAACCTACCAATGAGAAACACAGAAATGTCATTTATGAAATTCTGTGTTCCTGCAACGAAACATACATGGGAAGAAAACTTGTGACAAGAATAAAAGAACATAAAGAAAGTATAAGACTCACAAAAACATAAAATTCAGCCACTTCTGAACACTCCATGTCAAATGGACACAAAACAAACTGGGAAAAAACAAGAAAAATTAAAGAATCATTTTATATTAACACAATTAAATCTCCACTAAACAAAAATTCCAGATTAGACGTGAGTAATCTGTAGCTATCATTGGTTGAATCTACAGGAAATCTCTCCTCCAATCAGAAACAGGAATAAACCAACCAATCATTACACACTTTCCACAATCCACCAGAATACTATAAAGACCAACACCATACACATACTGACCCAAAGACAAAAGGTGGAAGACTTTCAAAACATCATCCTCTACATTTGTATTTCTACAACAGGCAGTTGGCATCCATTCAACAAAGTTTCATCAGTTCATCCACTTTAGAATGTATTTTTAAATTAATATATAAAAATAATAATTAGTTATTGTTTATTGCATTTCCAATGCCAGTAAACTATTGATATATTCTGAAAAGTTATCTATTATCCATATAGTCTAGTCAGATTTCTTTTAACTAACATATAATAAGTAATTTATTGTGAGATATTATAAGGATGATATTTTGTAAACAATTCACCCGTGACACAATCTTATTACTTGCACTGAGATGAGCAGTTAAGAATAAATAAAATCTTCAAATCAATTCAAGTAAATGGTTCTAATACTGGTCGAATTTATTATGGCAGCTTTCATAATTTCAGTGGTATATCAAAGAAAGAAATTACCATTTTTCAATAATGATCCAAATTTCTGAAGTATATCAGCAGTATCTCCACTCTCAATAATCGAAATTAACTCTTCTGTAGATATTTCCTGTAAGAAACATAGGAAAAGAAATTTTCCAAAAATAAAGTTAATATGACTAAAAAATACAAAAAAAATTTTGGAAATAATAAATAAAATGATAATGGATATTTATTCCTATATAAAAAATAGAGGAAAATAACATATCTCAAATATAATATGCAAAGTTATGGTATGCAAATGCTACACATCTCACTCTCCCATAGTGTATATTTCATATCTGCAAAAATTCTTAATTTTTCTAAATTCTAATTCTGTATACACGAAATCCAGTTAAAGTCATGTGCCACTCAGCCCAAGGTGTTACTTCATATATATACACCTGGAAAAAAGTTAAGCACCCCTGTGTTTTTTTCAAGTGATTCAGATTCGACG